ATTTGCTATTTATTCAGTATTTCTTGTTTTTCCACAAGAAACAATTCCTGACTTGCGGGGTTTTAAAAATAACCGATTCAATTATATTCATACGTTTCTAGTTCATTAAGCGACCTTCACAGATAATTATTTATTTCAGGAATCATGAACAAACGGAGTGATCGAAAATGCGCCAAATGTGAAAATTCTCAAAAAGATTGGGATAAAATCTACAAATACACTGAGTATTTATCCGAAAGTAAAATCGACCGGTCGAGAAAGAAGGTAGTACTCGAGAGAGATTACCCCAACGTGGAGCCATTTCTGTTGTTCTCCCAGTGCGACAGCGATGTGTTCCTTGTGGAAGCTCAAATACACACTAAGCCATCTGATTTGTCAGCTGAAAGCGCATCGCTTTCTAGCGCTAACAAGGGCTTCGCAAAAAATCCTCCCGATTGTACTGAAGATACCTTCCAGCATCCTGGGTCATCTGGGCATGATTCGAAAGCTGGTAAGAGTCCTACGTTTTGCTATTTAAAAGTGATAGGGCGCAGCTTTTTTTATTTAATTTTATGAGAGAGTTTACTTAAATAACTAAACTTCCACTAATTAATTATTTTATTCTGACCCAGGTTGGGCAGATAAGGCGGAATGGTAGTTGTACTTTGGTTCTGAATGTTTAGTTCGACTTTGATACATCTTTCATTTATTTGTTCAAAATTTGTAATATGTTTTCTATATTTATTACTAGAAAAGTATCGAGACGCCAGATTTTGCATGTTGTGATTTTGGTACTCCACTCCAGATGTGATAGTAGTTTCCTAGTGCTTATCCATGCCCTTTCTTTTTGGTTTCTGTTAGGACTACAATATCCAGTTTCAATTTATCTATTTCTGCCATAACTTCTGCCTGTTTCGGTCTCAAACCTTGCACATTCCATGTACCAATGGAGATAGTCATATTCCGTAGCGAAAACCGTCTCCGGTTGACTGTCCCCATCCGAGGCTTTTGTATTAGTGAGAATGCACCTCAGAGAGTTTTTACAAAGAATGGGTTTTATACCCATTGCTCGAACCCTCCTCTTTTATCCGGGCTTGGAACCGGCAACGGCGGCTTCTGAGCTACCCGATCCACTCAGCGCCTACCGCAGACGGAGTTAAATAGTGTCTTTTGAAATTAAAAAAAAGCAAAGAAATCGAGCAAATGTGTCATGAAATGAAGAGCATTTTTCAATCTGTAAACTGTTATCACATATAAATTTCAAATGTATGTTAGTAATAAATAATGTTTGCTTTTTTTCGCAGAGACATCTCTAATATACTGGGTGTAAATCTTCAAATGCGCTTTGAGAGTCATTCAAGTGATGGTGGAAGGCAGAAGTGCATTTTATGCCAATCAATCTGAAAAAAAAAATGAATTGATTCGAAAATTATTCTTTAAGTTTAAAAATAAAAATACAAAAATCAAAACTTTGCCAAAACATTAACTCTATCTTAAATTGTTTCTTCGTATGTTCTTATTTGTATTCGTGCAACACTAATTTTAATCACTGTTACCCCCAAAGAAACCTAAACGTTGGAAAAAAAATCACTTAAAAGAAATTATTGCTAAAGATCAAATATGAAATTTGTCAGATATTGACGATACCATATAACTACCAAGCACGAGGTAATTTGTTTTCTTCATTATTAAATACAATTAATTGACAGTTCTTCCTTAATGGATCGACTACCAACCAATGAGAGAGGTATATTTTAAAACTAATATTATGTTACACAGAAATAATTTTGTAAAAAATGTTTTTGAATACAATACATTGATATTAAGTGTTAAATATATGTTCTCATTTTGTTGTATTGATTTTGTTGTGTTTGGTGTATTATATCTATTTACAATAAAGTGCCAAAAAGTTAATGTTTCCATGACTGGACGTGACCGAGTTCCACGACGAGGACGAGCTCGAGTCCTGGAGTGCGGTCGTGCTATGGAATGAGACTTCACCGTATATTTTATTCGAGTCCTCAATTTTATGTCAATTGGTCAGTTAAATGTACAAATATAATTAACTATCACGAGAACATGCCATAAACTAGTGTTTCGCAACCTTTTTCACCTCGTGACGCACTAACCCATAGCCATATTTAATCACAGCACACTTGATGGTATTTTGCATATTTAACTTATTACCAAACCTTTTTTACTGCGTTTTTCGTCTTTATACATTAGAACAGAACTACAAGCAATTAGAAAAGGTGTGTTTTTACCAGGGTAGTGATTAAAAAGCTACATTTTAATACTAAGATATACTGTAATGTTGAAAGAAACCAGTAACATATTTACAAAGTTTACAGTATATTACCAGATGCAAAATCGTGAATTTATGGAATGCGGGGCAGAAAATTGTGGTACAATATGGTACGATGACAACGTATGGTATAATTATGGAACATTTTGTAGATTTATACTATTTAACCCTATACATCTTCAGACTGTATGGTCAGTGGTGTATTCGGAAAGTAACGCCAAGCTCTGCCGCGTGAATGGGGACGGCAACGGGAACAGGGCCGGGCGCGATCGAGCTGCGCGCGACTGCCCCGGGGCGGCGTTAAGGGCGCAGAGCGATACTGCGGTGAGAGCGAGCGACTGCAACGTCACGGTTTGAGGCGGGCTTGTTTTAGTTCCCTTTAGTAATTATAGCTTCATTGTTTTATTATTCATATTATTACGTGAATACTTAGAATTGCCCCCCCCCCAAATAGTTTTACATATTTCGTTAAAGTACATTGACGTTGTTTGTTTCCTTGATAAAATTTAAGTGAGTTGTATTTTCTGCAAGTTCGTAGTAGTTTTGTATATTTGTTTCGTTTTTAAATGGCAGTACACAGCGTAGTGAACATGTGCTTTGATATCGACAGCTGTTTCTTGAGGTTCTCTTTTTTGCCACTACCGATACTCGGCGTCATGCCTCCTCCGTTGACGTTCCTTGAGAAACGAACGTAACTCGCCCTGCCGCCCCTGTTCGCTGGTCACTGAGGAGCAGCCTTCAGGATCGATCGCAGTTCAGTCTTTGCGTCTGAAATCCTCTCCACCCACTTCATCATTTTCGTACAATAGGAAAGGGACGAGGGCATCCCCAAACCCTAATACTACTCCAGCCTGACATCCTGTCAGCCACACGTCAATGTGTCCGACAAAAGACCCCGCGTTATTTCAAACACATCAGGAACTAATCATTAACTCTTTTGACAACCACTCCTTCCACCGGCTCTCGACAATCACAGACATGAACCTGTGTTTCACCAATAGCAAATATAAGAAAAAATGTTGAGACAATATTTTTTAATAAATTCCTCAAGTCTACATTTCAAGTAAAAATTCAGCGAAAACTATTCATTTTTTTCAAAAACTTGATTGATGAAACTACTAGTTTTTCACACCTGATATTTCACAATAGACTTTGTCTCAGGCAAAAATCTCTATCTTCAATTTTGTAGTTTTGAAATGTTAAATTTTTGCACTTTTCAAAAAATTGGACAGATAGCCGAAAATCGGAGTAGCACCATATAAGGTACGATCAAAAAGTACTGACTTTATGGAACTGATTTTATTAAAAATAATTTATTGCACGTATAAGAACAAACCCTTATTTTTTTCGAAGTACGATCCTTGTGCTTCGACCCACCGAGTATAACGCGTCTGCCAATCCGCGAACGCCTTCTGGAGGCCTCTGGCCAAAATGCTGTTGAGGGCCCCCGTTTCAGGCGCACGAACGTCTTCGGTAGACTCGATGGACGTCGACGAGTCGAAACGTTGCCCCTTCACGTGGCGAGGGAGGAGGGAACCGCGCCTGGGCTGCGGGGTAAGGCTAGCCACCCAAAGCAGAGCACACAACTGTACATGCAATCATGTAATACTAATTAATTACTCATTAATTATCATAATTTTAAATTAATTACGCCAGCCATTTTCTAAAACAAATCAAGGATAAGCAAGCTTCATACTGAAGCTAGCTAGCCACGAAACAAAATACAGCAGAAATTAACAGAAAAAGTTAACAAGAAATAATGTATTAATTACTATTTAATTACTCAATTTTACCATCATTATAAAACGTATATTTAAAAAAAATTAAAACTATTTACAAAAACACAAATTATGGAAGAAATTGAAAAATGCTTCCTTACCGGAAAACATAGATTTCTATATGCTAATTACATGTAAATTCAGTATACATGTTTACCACACGACACGAGAATTAAGTTCGACAAGCAATTGTTTAAAAAAGGTACCACAGTCATATTTCTACGATGAAGTTTAATAAATTCTTCGAATTAAATATAATGGACGGACCACAGAATTACTAAATACATTTTGAACAAATATATATATATATATATATATATATATATATATATACATTACATTATAATTTAAATATTTAAATATTATGTTGACAAAAAATATATTTTCAACACATAAAAGTTCATCTTTTAAGTTAAATTTAAGTGTAATTATATTTTCCTGAAGGAAACGGAATTTGAGCAATTTGATTTAAAAAGAGCGCGCATGATTCTTCGGAACGAATATTTGGTAATATTTCTGGTTGGGATGGGATTAGAAAAAAAAGAAGAAAAAAATACGTGTCAACTCTATTTTCAAACCTACATCTGAAAAAAATTTGTTCTTAAAAACGATACAAGTTTTGTTGATTATGCCATGTTATCTAGATTCCGAATCGGTGATGTGGCAACGCACATTATAGCAAGAGGCACTGCCGATCCATTTCTCCCGCTTATGAGTTTCGCCTATAAAAAGAATTAACTCATCGCGCAGTGGAAGTCGTTTCTCTCGCTGTTGCAACTTCGCGTTCCGAAAATAGCCTACAGTCAGGCAGAATTATAACTAGAAAATTTCCACATGCACGTTCAAACACGTCAATTTGTTTTTTCAAAACGTGGAATATTGCTTCAATTTGCACACTTTTAAAGAAGTAGTTAAACCATAGAGTAATGAACTAGTCTATGGTTGAACAACAAAGAAAGAAAGAAAGAAAGAAAGAAAGAAAGAAAGAAAGAAAGAAAGAAAGAAAGAAAGAAAGAATGCACGTGATTGTTCCCGCCACGAGCCTGCGCGCTTCCTGCCGCGAGTGCCTTCAGAGGCCGCCGCCTTCTACGTCACTGCCGGAAGCGCGTCACTCGGCCCGTGACACCCCCACCCAGGGCGCGGCCGGCCACGCGGCGGCGCGCGAGGCGGGAGGTGGCGGGAAGCTGGCAGGACGCGCCTCGCTCGCTCCGTGCTGCCTGCGCTTCAGAGCGGGGCCGCTTCACAGAGGACGAGGCTGCAGGTGCGGACGCCGCCACCTGCCACTGCCTGACATGGACGATCTGCGAACAAAGGTACGTGACTGGCTTCATACACGCGCGTGCCTCACTGTGGGTGCCGTGGTAGGACAAATCATGTTCCATTTCACTCGCTTCACTTCCAGATCAGTGCTTTCGTACGTTCTGAAGTGAAAAATTTCGGGTTTCAAAACCAATACTACCCCTTCGAGAGTGATGTGTTCATTTTTCTTAGATTGAATGGTTGGTTGTTAAAGTTTCCTGGCGCGTCAACTATTAGGGTCAGTATTCCCATAAGTGCAGTGCAGTTTCTTCCTCGGGAAATGGCGGTGTTCCTCCCCCGCTGGTTGGGGAGATCCGGCGCCTGCCTACCGACACGTGTGGTAGTGTAGTACATGTTAGTGTAAGTGTGTGTGTGTCAGAGGTGAGGGTAGGGCATGAAGGAAGGAAAGATCGCGCGTGGTCTGTGCCCCGTTTGTTAGAGTACTTCTCCGGTATTCGCGTGGTGTTGATCGGAGAAACCACGGAAAACTACTGATCAGAACAACCGGCCGCTAGTATTCTCCTCCAGACAGCGACTGAATTCGACCTCGCCAACAAGCTAGTGTCGACAATATTGTCACTGTCGGGACAGGGTTAGGACGAGTGATGCGACATCGATAACAAAACATCCATGTTAAAAATTATAACATCGATGATAAAAAATACATCGATGTTTTTAGTCTGGACCTCTAACATTAAATTCGTGCGCATTAAAATTTAATTTGACAGTGTTCCTGTTTATACATTCGCCGAATAACGTTACGAGAAGAAGGAACAGTTCCTATGACCACAGCGTATTTGTTGACCGTATCTCAATGGACGAAAAGAATATGAAGAAACAGGAAATACAAGAGCATGGAGGTCATCAGCGATCCTTTGGTTCCGACACACGAATAACAGTGTTACTATCAGTTATTATTTCATATAAGCTGGATGTTGCTACAAAAACATCGACGTTTTAAAAACATCAACAATGATATCGCATCCCTAGTTGGGACAAGTGATGCTGCATTTCACTCGATTTTCAGGGAAAGGTGACTTCCGGCCTACGTAGGAAGTCAACGAATTGGGCGTTTCAGAATCAATACGACCCTTTGAGAGTGACGTATTTATTTTTGTTGGAGCTCCCGAATTTGTAAAGATAATAATCACTTCTATTAGTGTTTGTTGCATTTAAGCGGTGAAACAGTTTTGCAGTCACAATGTTTTGCTCTGAAGAATATATGAATGCATTGCTATCACTTGAATACAATATTTGTAGATACCAAGCAAATCGACTCATGTTAGAGAATCACGTCTCATATTTTTTTAAATATATTGTGTTAGGTCTGCCTGAAAATGATGTAGAGATGTTTGTCATTTATTGAAATACATACAAATAGCAACCCACCCGCTATGTGGTTGAGATCGATTTGCTCGATGGACGATTGGTCCGATTTTACTTGGACATATTGCGAAATCCTTTTAGTAGATGTAAAAAAAACATAGATACAATTTAATTTGTTTATTCGTACGCTAATAATTGTGCTTATTAGTGTTTTCATTTATGATTCACAATGAACAATTACTTCTCCAAGCTTTTGATGTGTCTGTTGAAGTTGCAAACTGGGACATTTCGCCCACAATGCAGGGAACATTACAGGGCATGCAGGTAATGCTTACTAAGCTAAGCATTATGACTTAAACCGTGCAAATACAATGGAAACTAGAATATGTATTTACAGCACCATTTTCAGCTCTTCTTATCTGCGGAAGGTGATTAAACTGTTCAAAATTATCTAGTTTCAAGGCTTTGCAGTCTAGCCTGTTATGCAAATAACTTAGTAATTCGCAGATACAAAGACACATTGCGTCGTTGACGATAAGCTGTATAAGCCCCATTAAGTTGACCGGGCAGAAGAGAAGGCAGAGAATGAACTGACATTTCTTGACATGGTTATAATCTACTTTATATTCATAAAGGAATTGTTTACTCTTGAGAATATATGTTGGAATCTTGATATTTCCTTGTAAATTATTATTAAATATTTTTGTAAATGTACTAGTTAAATCCTTTTTACACAACCAATGCACATTAGTGCATATTTGCAAGTTGCAAATTTTTCTGTTCGTGTAATTATAAGAACATATTTTGCATATTTCGTTAAAATAGAGACTTATCTCTAAAATTTTCCATGTTTTCATAAAATCTATTTATTTATGTTAAAATGTTTATACAAATGTAGGATTTTTCTTTATATTATTTTTAATCCATGCAAACGAAATGCAACAAGACATGAAATTTACTGCACTGAGGTGAATATTTACTTCGATTTATTTTCACGCGAAGTAAGGTAGATTATATTATGTTTGCACAAAAACATATATTTTTATTCCAAGAACGCCTCTCCTGAATTTTATCTAATCCATATATAGGAAATTAAATATTGTCGATTTTAATTGCATATTGTAATTCATTTTCAGAATTATACGAAAGAATATATATATATATATATATATATATATATATATATATATATATATATATATATATATATTTCAAGCTTTCAAGTTTTTGTAGGGCTTGAAACTATCTCCCTAGAAATGTATGATGTCGCAAGAGCTTTACGCATCCAAGTTGGTTACTGTTTAGATGCACGCAGCCTCAGAAGTACCCACGCATCGCTTTAACCAAAATAGACGACTTCTTGGAATCTTAACGTCACTGCAGAGGCAATTCCCACAGCTGCAACTGTTGCCGATGGTATCACCCGGATGGTATTGACTAATTGACGTAAATATTCACCTTAGCGAAGTACATTGTGTATCTTGTATTCTGACTGTTTTAAAAAAATGTTATCAAGAAATATCCTACATCTGCACAATAATTTTATCATTTATACGACAAAAACGCTCTGAGAGGAGCTCTTTCGAATCAATGAACACTCACAAATGAATAAAAGATGAAACGTTTTATAGGTAATTCTCTCTATTTTGGCGAAATATACAAAATATGCCCCTATAATTAAACGCATATGCACCAACAGGAAAAATGGGCCAAATATTCACAAACATGCAATAACATATTAATCATATTCTGACCAAATATCAAGAAATATTACTAAGCTATTCCCTAAAGCAACGGACAAAAATATGCAAAATCCTAGAAATCCGTTCCCTAGCTCTGAGCTGCGGACAACACCAATCAACTTATCAACAAATTAAACAAAACGAAATTTAGTTACTTTCGTGCGCTATTTTACTCGTACATACTGTAGAGTATGGAGAGGCTTTCTATGATTGCACATTCTTGTCTGTTGCTTCAGGGAATAGCCAAGTGAAATGTCTTGATATTTGGGTAGAATTCGATGACATGCAGATTATTGTGTTAGAGCATATTTGGTCCATTTTTCCTGTTGGTGCATATCCGTGTAATTATAGGAGCGCATTTTGCGTATTTTGTTAAAGTCTGATTTGTTCTTTTATCTGAAATTCATCTTTTCATAGATTATACTTATTTGTGAGCGTTCATTGATTAGAAAGAGCTCGTCACAATTTGCATTTTTTCTTCTTTGTATATTATAAAATACTTGTGGAAATGTAGGACATTTCTTGATATCATATTTTTTAAACCATACAGAAGAAACATGTACTTCACTAAAGCGAATATTTACTTCAATTATTTCTCCCGTGAAGTATGATAGATTGTATTATGTTTGCTCAATAATATGTCTTTTCATTCCAAGCATGCTTCTCTTGAATGTTTTCAGGAAAGGTTTATATAGGAAATAAATATTGCTAATTTTAATTGCGTATTGATGTGCGTATTCTAGAAATTTTAAACTGAGGAGGCCATTATTCCCTTTAGTGTAGTGTATGTTTCGCTCGGGGTAGGGCGATGGTCTTCTCCCGCTGTATATCGAGATCCGGCGCCGACTTATCGTCTCCAAGCAGCTATTTCCCTGCTTTCCCTTAGTTTCATTTTAGTGACCTTAATTGTTAGCGAACTCATATACAGTTTCAATATTACTCTGTGTATAGCACTTTTATGAATCAGTGCTTGATTTATAAAATGTTATGTCTTGGAATGTGCCTCAAATTAATTATTAATTTAATAGAAATAGCTGATATTATAATTCAATAATTAATATTCTCGAAGTGCCGGACCGTTGTTCCGTCGCATTTCGTCAGAAATCTAGCCCTGACAACAGCAGAATAGCTTCATGATAACTCAGTTGTTCGATAATCAACATATCTTCGTGAAATGTATGTGAAACAGATTTTTTATTGATATTTTTTTAGGAAATACCAACCGAAAAAGGCGCTAGGGATCAAAAGCAAGAGCTAGTAATTCATAAGCGAATTATGACCTTTTACCTGTTATAAAATGTTATGGTAAAATTGCGAGTAATGCATACGGCAGTGAAATATCAGAAATTAATATTCTGCTGGTGAGGTTGATACCCGTTGTAAATTGAGAATAAATCGTGTTGTGTGTGGATCAGTATTGAGTCCTAGACAACACCTTTTTTTCTCAAATATGAGGGGAGGGAGGGAACCATCCATCGAATGAGTGTACACTTATAAATATTAATCCTGGAAGTCGAGAGGCCTAATGAACATAATTTACATCACGGTATTGATTGCATTAATTTTTCCCGCGCGTAGGCCAACTCGGGCCACGCGTGCATCCCGCTTTCGCAGCCTGTCTGGGGTGGGGGTGGGATCAGCATTTCCGCTGCAACCCGATTTTCATCCTCCAAGGTTGTTAGCCCTGGGGGAAGGACGATGAGATGACGATAGGGAGGGATGAAAGGGCGCAACACACAAACCCACACATGCCCGAGGAAGGATTCGAACCCGCTACAGCACTTCTGCCATAAAGATCTCGGCCATCTGACCGCCTGATTCGATAGATTATATAAGCTCATTTGTGTTTTTATAACGCCTGATTCCGCTGGTGACAATATTCATTTTTTTCACGTGATTTAAAAGTAATCAGCCACTGACCATCATACATAATATTATTTTCATAT